GGCTCGCCAGGACTGTGGGAATTGGTTGTCCCAGGAGCCGAGGGATACAGTTTATTGTCTGTTCAGGGCAGATCCTGGGATCGACAGTGTCCTGATTATGGATTCGTTCAAGGGCCTTCCACGCCAGAATGTTGAAGTAGAGGGTTGCTTCTAGATTCTTCTTCCCTCCCACGCCCGGGCGGACGCCTGGAGAGACAGGGACCCTGGCACTGGGAGAGGGGCCTCAGGCACCATGGGGGCGCCATTCCTGTTATAAGTGAGTGGAGACCGGATAAGGGCTTTAACTTCCTCTTGGATTAACTCAGGATCCTTGGTGAGATAGTGGTTATGTATTGGACTGCTTAACCACCAGGTAGGTGGTTTGAAACCACCAGCCCCCTCCGAGGGAGGGGGGAGGAAGAAATGGAAGCTTTCCACTCCCAAATGAGTTCATCTGAAGTCTTGCCCCCCACGGCGGGGTGGGGGGCGCACTTCGGGGGCACTAATATGCCCCCCGTAAGGTCGCCATGAGTCAGAATTGACTCGTTGAGCTTGGGGTTTTTGGTTGATTAACTTAACCGTAGGAGGCAAGAACACGATTCTGATTCTTCAGCGCCTTTCCAGCTTTTTCGTGGTGTACAATTGTGAATCCTTCATTTTTCTCCTGGCCCTGCTGCTAACATCCAAACTTCATACCATGCCCTTTCTCAACTTCCTTTACCAATGAGATGATAAAATGATAGATTCTAAAATTAACTGTTATCGCGTCAACCCTAACTCAGCGATCCTATTGGACAAGAGAGAACTCCCTAGGGTTTCGGAGGCTTTAAGTCTGCAGGAGAAAGTCCCATCTCACCCCGACCCACCCCTACCCTTGGGGAGCAGCTGCTAGGTAGGAACCCCCGACCCACCATAGCCTAAGCTACTAAGCCACCAGACCTCCTTAAAATGGATTCTAAAGCAACCATTTAAAAAATTTCCACTCCTGGGGATTAAGAAAAGCAGCTGCTTTGGATAAAAATCAACCTGACAGGAACCGTAGTTTTTTTTTGAGTCAATATTTTCAATTGAAGATAAATAGGCCTTGACAAAATGATTGTTTAGTGCCCTGGAAAAGAGTCTGGCTGCCAATTCCCCAGTACATTACAAAGGCAAAGGCCGCATCGATGGCTTCTGTTCTGTATGTTGCCGGAGACAATCAAGACTCAGAATTTTATAATAGCCGTTATAAGCCAGGTTTCCACGCATTCTAATTTATTTTAAAAGTATTTTTAAAGGAAAAGGTTATTCTTAGTTATCTTCATAATCAATAAATAATAAACCTTTATTTGGTGAAACCTCAAATTCATTTCAGATATGAAATTAAATCCTGATTAGACTTTTGATAGTTCTAACTTAAAACGATTGGACTTACACTTAATTCTTCACAGATTTAGATCTTTAAAGAAATCAATATGATTTAATAATTGAATAAATTTCTATGAAGGTAAGTAAAACAGTTTTGCCATTAGGGCTCCGGTTCATATATACACAGGTTTATTCCAAACAAGGTATGTTTAAATGTCTCTGTGATTAATGGCTGGCTACAGATAAATTTTTTCAGGAACATACTTGTCTTAGTCTTATTAAGGTGTCTTAGGGAAAAAAAAGGGTACTTTCAAAAAACAAAGGTTTTGTGACAATCTACATATCCTACAATTCATGAGTTCAATCACAACAAGAGGAGTATAATCAATATCACAATCAATTTTAGAACATTTTCTTCTTTCTTGTACTCCTTGTTATTAGCTCCTCATCCCGGCCCCCCACCCCCCACCCCC